TACTGTGCCATTGTTAATGTTATTAGTTACACTTGCTTTTCCTGCTGGGCAAATCCAGCTGCTGTTTTCTCCAAGTCTTTAAGACACATGTTATATAGAGGCCTGATCTGTGTGCACCTAACATAAGCGCCTGAAGACAAACTCAAGACAAATAGAGATTTGGCTTTTATTTAGGTTGAGACAGGCATGCGGTGAGAAACACGGTGACTAATTTTGAGCCTTTCAGTGGTGGAATGAAGACGGTTTGTTGTTGTGCCAGACGTGGTGGACCTTTTCACCTTTTCAGGGGAAAAACAAGACACCTTTTATTTAAATAGAGAGGCTTTAACTTAGACCTTAGACATTTTACACTATTTTTGTCTTGTATAATGTTTACCTTTAAAATTACAACCCACAGTGGGCTCTAGTCAGAGAAGCATCATATGGGACGTTTATATAAATATACCAAAATTAAGACCTTTTTGTCAAGCCTACAAAAAAAGAAGGAAGGAAAGAAGAAAATATTCAATTTGACAAGATTTTTAAAAAAAAAAAAACATTTATGATAAAAATCACATATTAAACTTTATTATAGTGATTAGGACTTTTTTTTTGGTTACTTGAATTGTGCCGAACTTGTACTTCCTGTACACACTTAAAACTGGCCTTGAGCTACAAAATTCCTAAATTGGGATTAGCTACAAAAATCATATATTTATCAAACTGATATCATCTATATAATGTGCTGCACATGTCTCCAGACTCTAGACCAAAACCTATGCGAGCCACTCCCTCTTTCTTGTTGTGAAACATTGCGAAGGAGGAGCCTTTATTTTTCTGCGCAGCACTAAATCCGATCCCCTTGATGCGTGCGGAGAGGAAAGTGAATTAGAGATTGAGGTGCCAGCCCGAGTCACACCCCACTCCCACCCCATCCTCTACCCTCACCTCCCTCCGCCTGCTCCACCGGAGACCAAAGTCGTGATGCAAAAAGGAGAGAGAGAGAGAGAGAGAGAAAAGAGAACGAGACACAGAAAGAAGATATTTGAAAAGCTGCCACGAGTTCCCTGTCACACCGCCTCCTGCGTGGATTGAGCCGTGCTCTTTGTTATCTACAGGCATGAATACTGAGTGGATGTAAAGGGGGGGGGGGG